GGGGGGGGGGGGGGTCGATTTTCCTGGAAATAAAAAATGAAGGCTTCTTACGGGTAGGAATTTGCCCAATTCCTAACTCCAAAATTCCTAAACGACAAGAATTTCCTAGGATTCCAGCCGGCCAGTGAGAAAATGAGCCCAAATAAAAACTGGATCGGACATGGATTAGGAATTTTTATTTTGGGCTTGTTGGGGGGGGGTCACACCCGATGACACAGGTGATCGCGCCAGAACGAGCAACTACACCGACTGCTGCCCAAACAGCGGCCAATACCGTGGGGTCACATACAAATCCTCTGTAGGCATCCACAATTCAGGGCGTTCAGCGCTTTATTGGCCGCGCACGAGCTAAAACGTCGACCTGCAAACGTTGCGCTGCTCACAATCTACGTTTCGAACAAAAAAGAGCCGTTTTTTGTGACTGCCGGATGTGTTCCACTCAAAAATGCACGCCAGTCCGAGGCCTTACGCCGGCAACAACCACAAACTGCAGCCGAAGGCGTGCGATCATACACATGCCCTCTGCAGGCGTCCCAAAATCAGGGTTTGTTGTCCAGTTTGCACACGACCCGCGAACGTCATTCGAAGTTCATTTCGATGTCAACTTTTTTGGACTCTTGGCATTTTTTTGTGGTTGGTTCATGTGTGATGAGTAAAAAACGTATGTCAGAGAGAGGCTTAAGCCGCCGACGTCCACAAACGGCAGCCAATGGCGTGAACTCATACAATGGCCTATGCAGGGGAGCCGAAATCAGTTGTCCAGTTTTGAGTGCACACGACCCGCGAACGTCATTCGAAGTTCATTTCGATGTCAACTTTTTGGACTCTTGCATTTTTTTTTGGTTGCTCCGAGGGAGACCAGTAAAAAAAACATGCCGGACAGAGGGCTTGCGCCCACGATATCAACAAACAGCAGTCAATGGCGTGGGGTCATGCACATGCCCTATGCACGCGTCCCAAAAGTAGAGCGCTCCGCGCCTTATTGGCCGAATACGAGTCGGAAACGTGCTGAAGCATCCTGTGATGGACAATCGCCCTTTTTTTCCGCACGAAAAAAAATACAGCTCGAAAAGCCGTAAGAAGGTCGCTCGGCTCTGCTATTATTGCTCTTGCAAATCCTCCCAGGAAAATAACCCAAATAAAAAAGCTGAAAAAAAACTCCGTAAGAAACGGCCTCATATAAGGAAGGTAAAAATAGGTGTTTGTCGATTGCCCCGCAAACCCGGCCACTTCCTCAACACCAGCATCGCTGTCGACACCCTGCTGGCTCATGCTACTGGTATCCATGCACCGTGTTCCCCCGCACATGTACAAAGCTGTGTGTTCTGGTGTATGTGGTCTCGCAACCACCGATATCCACCGGTGTGATAGACAGGCGTCCTGTGGGTTTATGCGCATAACCCTTGGGGGGGGGGGTGTTATCTTCGGTGGCCGGTGACATTGGGTCAACTGCTCCCCAGAAATTCGATGCGCCCATATGGATGCAAATAAGAGATGCACCCAGGTTCTTTTTCAGCCAGCCCTGACCACACACAGCAACCTAGCACCTACTACACAGCGACGCGCACTTTTGGCACTTTTGACAGTCCCGGGGACGGGTCCTGGGTTAGGGTTTAGAGTAAATATCGGCTCTTCTCCCGCCGCGGCGCAGCCACGGCCTAGCCCTAGCCACATACATGTAACCTCGCACCTCTCCACCGCCCTGTGACCTAGCCCTATCCCTTGCACAGCACGCACGGGCCCGAATAGGCACACTGGGTGCATCTCTTATATGCACCCATGTGGATGCATACAATTTTTTGGCAACTGCTCTGCGCTTGGAATTATCATCACCGGTGTCACCGGGTGTGTTATTGTGGGGCGGGGTGTTATCTTCGGTGGGTGTGTTTTCTTGTGTTGTATACGGTCTATTCTTCCAACCTCGCTTATGATTCGGGCCTTGCCTATTTATACAATATTACTAAGACCAAGAACCTTGAGTGCAAGGAGGGAGAAAGCGAGGAACCGACTGGGAAGGACAGCAACGAGAGCGTGTACGGACGGAGCAGGTCGAGTGGCGTTATGCTCGGGCTGACTACAGCGGCGCCGGACGGAGCAGCGGCACCGGAGCATGCGGGCGACATCGACCCGTGGCGCACGGACAAACATTTATATCTGATCTGTGTTGTCAATTTTTCTCGTTTTTTTCCTGATTTTCGGTGTTGGTTCTATGTGATGACGTCGTCACTGGTTTTGTAGAGAGACCCGTCAGAGATGGCGTGGCTAACCCGGGTGCCTTGGTTATGTGCCTGATCGTGGAAGACCCCTTCAATGTGGAACGATTCTTAGCTATTGTCGATATTTTCACTGCGTGCCTAACACAGACGATCGGGAGAGGTTCGGGTGATTGTCCATTGCAATCATGGCTTTGGTTGGTTGTTCTTTTTCACTGTACGTCCGCAGACACATTCTGACAGCACTTCAGACAGCAGCTTTGTGCCCCGCCAGCTTCTTGTTCCATGCCTACCATGGTGTTTTTGTACAGACAGCACTTCAGACAGCAAGTATGCTGTAGTCGGCAATCATTCGTTTTGGTACAGAGTGGGACAGGTAGGGGGTGATGTTGCTGTAGTCGAACGGTGAGACGGACGTGTAGTTCAGTTTTGGGCACGCGTACGGTGCTGCAGGGATTATATATAGGTGTAGTAGTACCTCTTCGGGCTGCTCTTGGATACCTTTTTCTTGCTACGTGTGCGTGTTCTTTAGATCCTCAGATGGCTCTAGCACTTTCGTGACCACGGGCTGAGAGTCTTTGCTAGATTTTGGCATTTAGCAACTGGCATACGGTTTAATGTGAAGTCAACAACAACAACAACAACTAAATATATAAGTAACACACGACGCGCGTTGACCCGCGCCCAATTTTTAGAGTGCAGGCACCCGCTCTCACCGGTGTTGTCGCCAGTAGCTCGAACGGGTAAACTACAGGAGGAGCAGTTCCTGGGAAAGCCCTGCCTTCTTTCTCTAAGCTGCCTTCTTTTCGGTGTGATCCCACACATGACAACTACAACGAAGCAACGAAAAGCAAAAAGCCCTCTCGGGGTGTTGGATCACCCCGAGAAACACCCCGAGATCGGAGAAACCGCAGAGATCGGAGAAACAATGCACGTGGCCGCTATTCGGTGAGAGATCGCGGAAGTACTGTAAACTTTTGTTTGCCACTCTACCTTCTTTTCCGCAATGCCTTCCGCTCTTATAGTGTAACGTAGCGGCAAACGAACTCCTCTCATTACAAAGCATTCCTTTGGATCGTCGCCCGTGGCCCGTCGTGAACCGCCGCCCATCACGCACGATCAGGCACGCCCGTGTTGTTGTGACCTCGACATGGATGCAAGACCCACCAGGCCCACCATTGGTGACCTGAAGACACTCGAGAATGATCTCCTCGAAAACCGTGCAGGCTTGCCCGCCGTGCAGCGAATGGCATAGATCAATCTACTCAAGTATCGCCAGGTGGCGGTCGTGAAGCATTTTGAGCACAAGGTGGACCTCTTGTTTTCCGAGCTCCAAGGAGGAGGCGATTCGGCGTTGCTACTAAACATCCCTTCCACGGAGCCGCCGGAAGGTGTCGTGCAGCCACGCCCCTCGGGATCATCAAAGGAATACCAGGAGGACGCCGCAAGCGCGAAGCGCGTGCTAGATCCCATTCTGGAGCTTTTGGCGGAGACTACCGGTGGGTGTGAGGCTGAGGCGGTTGAGGTCAAAGCGCTGGACGGTGTGGAGCGCAAGGCCGACACGTTCTTTGGCGGAGACTTGCGCAAGGTCACCGACATGGCAAGAGCTTCCCTGATCTGCGACACCCCGACAGCTTTAGCAGACGCGTTTCATCGTCTTGAACAGGTGAAGAAATCGTATGCGTAGGGTGTGTTGGTTGTTTTGATGTTTTGTGTTTGGTCATGGTTTGGGGCACTCCTTATATACTGCTGTACAGAAGATGTGTTGCCACCTTTCGATTCTTTACACCGTCACCATACCCTGCAATACCGTCCGTGATGGGGCGACTTTTACTCCGCCACGTCGGTGGGATGGTAAGGAACAGCCCACCGCAAGGCGTAATTATTTTGGAGCATACCATCAGCTCCAAGCACATACATATACATACTACCGTCGTCCTTGATTCGGCACGGGGGTGGCAAAAAAAATAGACAGAAGGGAGAAGTTTTTTTTTCGACAATTTCCCCCGAGCAAAAAAATAGGGAAATGGATGCGTAGTGTGGGTGTGCGCCGAGCTGTGTAGGTACGTGAGGGAGTAGTCAACTCGGCGGATGCTGTGTGTTCAGAACTCAGCTTTCGCTGGTTAAATAGAGGACAAATCTGGGGCTTTCTCGGCGGCGCGGGCACGGTTTGGAAGCGCGCCGGGTGTGTGCGGCGGAAGACGCTATTTTTCTATTTTTCTGCCTCTCGTGTAGCTTTGAGTTTCTGAATCGGTTCTAATGTATACCTACATATGCAAGGGGTGCTCCGCCTTTCCCTCCTACGGGGGTCAGGCTGCGCGTATTCCCGCAGTAAAAAAGTTGTAGGTTCTGATGGAAATGGTAGTGTAGCCGTGATAATTACCGGCAAGTGGATAGGCATCTGGCGTGATTGCTGTGGCGGTGAATGTGAGAAATATGGCAGGAATATACTGTAGTGTATGCAGAACCCTGGACGTGGGTGCGTGCGGCGAAAGCACGAGGGATGCCGGATTGAAAGGAGAGGGAAGGGAAAAAAATAATCTTGCCATTGAGGACGTTATTCAGAAACGCACAGACACCTACAGTTGAAAACGCAAGGAGATGCCAGCCTACGGAAGAGCAGAGAAGGAAGAGCATGCCAAACAACATGTACTACGGCCGCCGTTGGCTCTAGCGACAATGTACGGACGCCTGTGAGCAGGCAAGCAGAAACGTAAACGGCCATTGAACGGAAAAGCAGAGAAGCTTTCTTGCCGCGCTTCTTGATGAGCTTTCCGGAGCCGCAGGTGTTGTCGAAACAATCAATCTCGGTCAACAACTCCCCGACGATCTTGAAGCCGGTCTGGTTGCTAGGGGGGGTAGAGGGGGAGTCGCCGCTGCTGTAGCGTCCTTTCTTGCCAACAGGAGAGTTGTCCAGGATAGTAGACATACTTTCCACGCACGCTCTTGTGGGTAGAGCCGCGAGAGGGATGTTTGTGTGTGTGTGGTGTGTGGTGACGGCGGAAGATTTCCGGTTCGAGAAACGTTGAGTTGTACGTTGGTGTACGTTGGTGTCGTGTACGTTGGTGTGGTGAACGTTGCTGGCGGTGAATTTTTGAACTGCTAAACCGTCTCTCTCAATGTTGTTCATTGTATGATACGTACTCTTGTACCCTGTACTCAGAAGTACTGCGGTGTACCACATGGCTGCAAGGAAGATTTTTTTTCTTTACAGACAGAACAGAAGGAGAACGCACAAAGAGCGTTGGAGAAATCCAGAACAGAACCCACGTGGTGTACATGTCTGATGTTGTTGTAGTCTACACACACACCAAGTACGGCCGGGTATCGTGACAAAGTAAAACATATCTCAAATGTGTGTATAAACCTTCAATCTGTCACAGCAGCAGCAGCGGCTACCAGTTGCGACTGCGGCTGAAAAATTGTCCCGCGTGCGTGCGTGGCATCCTGCGTAACGTTTTCCAAAAAAAAAAAAACGAACACGCTCGTCTGTGTTGATGTGGAGGCGATGGATGGTGTGCTGCTGATTGACACAGATTCGTAACATATATGTATTAACTGCCGCTGCTGTACTTTCCGACCGGGGACTTTTTTTGTTTTGACGCGCGCCCGTGTTGAGGCGATGGATGGGTGCACTGACACAGATTGAACCGTGCTGCGAACACTTGCTGCAGCAAAACACACTTGCTGTTCAATGTCCTGGGTCTCGTTCTCAGACGTGGCGGTCTGTACCCTTCCGTACGCATGACGTCGCCGAACCCGAGAACCTTGTGTCTACGGAGACTGCACCCGCTCTATGCCGAGCGTTCAGCGCGGCCAGCTCTTGACACAGCTCACGGCAAGGCGCGAGACTCACAGGGTGTGCTGTGTACATTTTTCCCGTCCGGGTGCCGGAAGAACGAAAGAAAAAAAAACAACGACATGCCTGCGCAAACGCAAACATCTGAGAGCTCAGCATTTCTGGCGTGACTTGCTGTTAGACTCACGCACGGATTTTTAGCCGCGAACCGGTCAGCCACATTTGCAGGTAGAGATATAGCGCTCTTCACCTTCCGAAATGTGTGCCTTTTCGGCGCCAACCAACCAACAGACCAGGATGATCAAAAGGGTGAAAAAATATGGGTCGCTGTGATAGAGGGTGTTGTGGCGCGCGCATGTGTGTGTAAACAAAATCCATCCTCATAAACAGCTTTTTTTCGCTGGAATAAACTGCTACATACTAGAGAGTAGAGGGGAGTATTTTTTTTTGACAATTTCCCCCAAGCAAAAAAGATACTTTTTTCCAGTAGGCTGTGTCTCGTGGGTTCTGGGTTCACGTCTCGCAATCGTTCCACACAACACTCCAGCAGTTACACACCAAGAACTGGGGACCATCATCATATCAGTTATAGTTTATAATGTACAGATTTACTTTTCATATCAAATATAGTATGTCTGTATACAGAATGGTGTCTGGGAACTTTTGTTCCGATTCTGAGTTTTGGGGGACTGTCTGCAGGCTGTCGGCTGTCTGTGGGCTGTCGGCTTCCAATAGCCCAAAAAAACGTCAGTATGACAGCAGCTGTTTTGCAGCACAGTTGAAGACATGTGCCACCAGCAGCTAGCTGATAAGCACACTGCTGAGGGGCACAGACCTGCACAGCTGTGTTGACCGGAGCGTCCGCACAGAAGCACCCTGTTCAGTACGCTTTCTGTCTACCTTTTATCTCTTTTCCTCTCCCTTTTCTCTCTGCTGTGTGCGTCATGGAAACTGCCCCTCTCTCCCGTTCTTTCTCACAGCAAAACAGCAGTCTATCAGACTCTGCATCTCTCTCTCTCTCTCTCTGTGTGTTCTTTCCACTCCCAGCCTATCAGTCTCTACATCTCTCTCTCTCGCTCTCTCTCTCTGATGTACCGGCTGTGTCGTGACGGTCGCTCTTGTCTCTTTTCTGGCTCTTTGTGCACTTCTCCCGCTCTCCCGTTCTTTTCGAACGGATAACGGAAACTTGGAATCTTCTCTCTCCCTCTCTCTCTGTATATATCCGTGTTTGTTTTTTTTCAGTTATCTGTTTGCTTTGGTCTTGCATCACCCCCTGCCGCTGTGCTATCGTGAGCTCGCTCCGAAGGGGGATCTTGTATAATGTATAGATTTACTTTTCTGTGAACAGGAGCTACGTGTCGTTAAGGTCCGCAACGGCTTTGCGCGAGACTACATGCCCGGTGGCTACCGAGACGTGAACGTGAACGTTGTGGTGGAGGGACACGTGTGCGAGGTCCAGCTCCACCTTCGGCCTTTCCACATGCTGAAGGCGGATCATCACGAGGTGTACAAGTGGGCCTGAGTGCTCAACGTCACGGTCGAGATGCGTCCAGACGACCTCTTCAAGAACCTGTCGCCTGACGTTACGGAGGCGATGATCGACTTGGCCAACGGCGGCTGGTTGGGACTCCGGTTCGTCACTCACCAGTTGCTGGTTCGGGCCGGACGACACGATGAAGGCCGAGAAGTGCTCGAGAAGGTACGATTATGTCGTGTATTACCCGCGTTTGTCTCGACTATTAGCTCTACCGTAGAGATATTTCGAAGTACAATGTAGGCCTTCAGTCCGGGAGACCCCATCGGTCTTCGACCGAGTATCGTCCAATGGCCTGTAGGTCACTGCTCCGAATACGGCTCTAGCGCACACTGTCTAGGCCAAAACGAATCACAGTCACGCATCTTCACGTCTACGGCAGGCGCTGGCTGGTGCTAAGGATCGGGCGAGCCAGCTTTCGGAAGGTAGCCAGGAGTGGAGGGATGGATGGTGGCTAGTCCGCAGCTATTTAGTCGATCTGGCATCACTCGTGCGCGACCAGGTACCGCATGGATGTCACATGGTTTCCCCCCCCCCGTGAAACTAAGACCCATAATCCCCCCGCCTGTGAGGTTCGAGGGTGGATTGGTCGAGGTAGGGTTGGCTCCTGTTGCATGGAGCTGTAAAACCGCTGTTAGGGCATGGGGGATGTTCATGCGGGATATCCTGTTAGCTTGTGGGCTTCCGCCCTAAAGTTCACACCCTATAGGATGTCCGCTGAATGTGAGCAATCATACTTGTGAACTACTTCATCTGGAGTCATAAAAGATTATGCTCCAAGCGTATCACACGAAGCGGCGTGTTCGCTGTGTGTGGCTTGCCTGTTTTTCATGTGCGCGCAAAGATCGAAGTCCCTTGCGGCACTTGGAAGTATAGTCAGTCGTGCCTGCCGATTGTAAAACGTGTGGTTAACCGGGATGCCTAATCAACCCATGGCACAGCAAAACGCAGCCTGAGCCCGCGAAAACCGACATATCGCTCCGTTTCGGCATTGTAGGAATGCGAGGTCTATATGTCCGTGCGTTACATGAGTGCACCCCCCCCCCCCCCCCCCCCCCCCCCCCCCCCCCCCCCCCCCCCCCCCCCCCCCCCCCCCCCCCCCCCCCC